GCCAAGAACCAGTGCAGAAAAAAAGCCCCATTTTGTTAGTCCTAGTTGTCGTGCCACCTGCTGACAATCTGGTCCCCTCGGGATTGCCACCTACCGACAATCCAAGGAAGCATAGGGCCAAAGTGAAGTGTGACAGCCATCCGCCCCCTTTCCACCAAGCTCCACCCAGATTGCCACCAGCTGACAATCTGAAGCCCTGAAAATTGCCACCTGCTGACAATCCAAAGGGCAACCGGCCAGCAAGGGAGTGTGACAGCCATCCGCCCCCTTTCCACCAACCCCCACCAGGATTGCCACCTCTTGGCAATCTGTACCCCCTTAAGATTGCCACCTGTTGGCAATCTGTACCCCCTAAGATTGCCACCTGCTGACAATCTAGATCCCCTGTGATTGCCACCTGTTGGCAATCTGTACCCCCTTAAGATTGCCACCTGTTGGCAATCTGTACCCCCTAAGATTGCCACCTGCTGACAATCTAAATCCCCTGTGATTGCCACCTGTTGACAATCTGTACCCCGCTACGATTGCCGCCTTCCGACAATCTAGACCCCCTAAGATTGCCACCTGTCGGCAATCCATTAGGCCTGGCAAGTGGCAGCTAAGCACCAAAAACGCAGGTGTGATTGCCACCTGTTGGCAATCTAGCCCCCCCCCCCCCACCAGGATTGCCACCTTCTGACAATCTACACCCCTTAGGATTGCCACCTGCCGGCAATTTATGAGGCCTGGCAAGTGGCAGCCAAACACCGAAAACGCCGAACCCGAACCGTACACACAATGCGCTTTTGGACCCTCCGCTCGCCCCCTAAGGGGACATGCTAACTGTCTTTTGGAAGCTAGTAATGGCGTTGAACTACAGCGACTGCTGTACGCGCCAGTTCACTAGCGAAGCGGCCTCCAAATACCTACAAAGAGCCGAGGTGCCTTCCTTGAGCATTCCAAAAGTAGGCCACGGTCATACTTTTGGGATGTGTGCCACGGACGCGCTTTGCGCGAGGATCGGTTTGTTTTCCTCAGTGCCAAGGGCCAAGGGGGCTTCCCATTGAGCCTGTCAACGGGAACGCGTGTACTCGCTCGCGGGTGCGCGTTACTACCGGGGATCCGATCTATCTCCAATCGGTGAACACATATGGGCGAAGGATGTTTCAATCCGACCAGAAACATCGGGGAAGCAGGGAGCGTGTGCTGCGGGACATTCTCTTATAAGGCGCCTAAAATAAGGCCATCCCAGTACTAAGTACGCTGGGGGGTGCCTTCGAAGACCTTCACACTCTCATACTTCCCACGCATGCATTCACTGAACATGTCCAAGCCAAGGACTGATTTTTGGTGCAAGCGACTCGGCTGCAACTAAACATGTTCGTGTTCGTCAATCTCATGTTTGCATTGCTTCCCTCCCGGCGCCAAGGTACAACCAACGAGGCCGGCAATGGAAGACGGCCACCAAGCTGCAATTACACGCATGCACGTTTGCACTTTCAAAGGGGAATTCGAGTTTTGGACGGTATTGGAAGAGAACAGGAAGAGGTCTGGAAGAAGCCAGCTAGGCGACAGGACCGCCGATAGAGAGACCAAATATTCGCCCAAGTACCATGTATATAGCAACATCCTTAAAACAAGAAGCCAAGAACCAGTGCAGAAAAAAAGCCCCATTTTGTTAGTCCTGGTTGTCGTGCTTAACATCCTTAAAACAAGAAGCCAAGAACCAGAGCAGAAAAAAACACACCCCATTTTGTTAACCCTGGTTGTCGTGCTCAACATCCTTAAACCAAGAAGCCAAGAACCAGAGCAGAAAAAAACACACCCCATTTTGTTAACCCTGGTTGTCGTGCTCAACATCCTTAAAACAAGAAGTCAAGAACCAGTGCAGAAAAAAAGCCCCATTTTGTTAGTCCTAGTTGTCGTGCTCAACATCCTTAAAACAAGAAGCCAAGAACCAGAGCAGAAAAAAACACACCCCATTTTGTTAACCCTGGTTGTCGTGCTCAACATCCTTAAACCAAGAAGCCAAGAACCAGTGCAGAAAAAAAGCCCCATTTTGTTAGTCCTAGTTGTCGTGCCACCTGCTGACAATCTGGTCCCCTCGGGATTGCCACCTACCGACAATCCAAGGAAGCATAGGGCCAAAGTGAAGTGTGACAGCCATCCGCCCCCTTTCCACCAAGCTCCACCCAGATTGCCACCAGCTGACAATCTGAAGCCCTGAAAATTGCCACCTGCTGACAATCCAAAGGGCAACCGGCCAGCAAGGGAGTGTGACAGCCATCCGCCCCCTTTCCACCAACCCCCACCAGGATTGCCACCTCTTGGCAATCTGTACCCCCTTAAGATTGCCACCTGTTGGCAATCTGTACCCCCTAAGATTGCCACCTGCTGACAATCTAGATCCCCTGTGATTGCCACCTGTTGGCAATCTGTACCCCCTTAAGATTGCCACCTGTTGGCAATCTGTACCCCCTAAGATTGCCACCTGCTGACAATCTAAATCCCCTGTGATTGCCACCTGTTGACAATCTGTACCCCGCTACGATTGCCGCCTTCCGACAATCTAGACCCCCTAAGATTGCCACCTGTCGGCAATCCATTAGGCCTGGCAAGTGGCAGCTAAGCACCAAAAACGCAGGTGTGATTGCCACCTGTTGGCAATCTAGCCCCCCCCCCCCACCAGGATTGCCACCTTCTGACAATCTACACCCCTTAGGATTGCCACCTGCCGGCAATTTATGAGGCCTGGCAAGTGGCAGCCAAGCACCGAAAACGCCGAACCCGAACCGTACACACAATGCGCTTTTGGACCCTCCGCTCGCCCCCTAAGGGGACATGCTAACTGTCTTTTGGAAGCTAGTAATGGCGTTGAACTACAGCGACTGCTGTACGCGCCAGTTCACTAGCGAAGCGGCCTCCAAATACCTAAAAAGAGCCGAGGTGCCTTCCTTGAGCATTCCAAAAGTAGGCCGCGGGCATACTTTTGGGATGTGTGCCACGGACGCGCTTTGCGCGAGGATCGGTTTGTTTTCCTCAGTGCCAAGGGCCAAGGGGGCTTCCCATTGAGCCTGTCAACGGGAACGCGTGTACTCGCTCGCGGGTGCGCGTTACTACCGGGGATCCGATCTATCTCCAATCGGTGAACACATATGGGCGAAGGATGTTTCAATCCGACCAGAAACATCGGGGAAGCAGGGAGCGTGTGCTGCGGGACATTCTCTTATAAGGCGCCTAAAATAAGGCCATCCCAGTACTAAGTACGCTGGGGGGTGCCTTCGAAGACCTTCACACTCTCATACTTCCCACGCATGCATTCAGTGAACATGTCCAAGCCAAGGACTGATTTTTGGTGCAAGCGACTCGGCTGCAATTAAACACGTGCATGTCCACGGCCATCATCAACATATATGTTAACTCAACATGTGCTCGCCCAGGCATTGCTCTGGTGGTCGCAACTCGGCTGCAATCAAACATGTCCACGTCTAGAGCGTGCTTGCGTCATGCTTGCGTCATGCTTGCATCAATTTCCCTGCCGAAGCCAAGGCGCGGTCAGATGAGGCGAGAGCCGCCTCCAGACTGCATCTAGAATCTAGACGCAAACCTCGAGTCCGCACAAGCCTTTCAGGGAGTTTTCAAGGGTTAGTCTGGCAGAATTGCCTCGCTTATTGGGGCTTTGGGAATGAAAACCTCTTGGAGAATTGTTTCGCTTATTGGGGCGTTAGGAAGGAAAACCTCTTGCAGAATTGTTTCGCTTATTGGGGCGTTAGGAACCAAATTCTCTGGCAGAATTGCTTCGCTTATTGGGGCTTCAGGAATGAAAACCTCTTGCAGAATTGTTTCGCTTATTGGGGCGTTAGACGAAAAAACCTCTTGCAGAATTGTTTCGCTTATTGGGGCGTTAGAAGGAAAACCTCTTGGGCCATCCCAGGCTAAGTATGCTGGGGGGTGCCTTCAAAGACCTTCACACTTCATCATACCATCATATTTTCACACACACGCTTTCATTCAGCACGTCCCAGCCAAGGTATGCCACCTTGGAATGCAACTTGGCTGCAATCAGACACGTACATGTCCACGTCAGCTTGGCATCCCGCCCTTTTTGTGCCGCTGCCGAGGCACTACCAGAGGGACGGCAATGAGAAACGGCCACTAAGCTGCAATTGCACGCATGCAAGCTCGCAGTTTCCCTTCCATGTCGTACGTCAGGTCCGCTCCAAACCAAGCTGCCAGCCAAGACCTAAGGAAGATACATCCGCGATGAGAGCCCCTGCAGATGCAAGATGAGCCTCCTATATCACTGGTAAGGGGTGCCTTCAAAGACCTTCACGCTTCATCATACCATCATACTTTCCCGCACATGCATTGATTCATCACGTCACAGCCAAGGTATACCACCTTGGAATGCAATTTGGCTGCAATCAGACTTCATGTACATGTCCGCAGCCAAGGTACAGCTTTGGTCGCATCTTGACAGCAACTAGACAAGGCCATATTTGCTTTATTTTTACGTTGATTCCCTTCCAATGCCAAGGTACAACTACGCGAGGACCTCCGGAGTCCAGTTGAAAAGCCCGCCCACCACCTGACAATCTGTATCCTCGTCCATTTTACGAAGGAAATCGGCTTGGAGAGCTTGCGAATCACTTGACAATCCTCACCACCGTCCAGTTTATGAAGGAAACCGGCTTGGGAGCCCGCGAACCACCTGGCAATCTTTATTCCCGTCCATTTTATGAAGGAAATCCATTTGGCAAGCTCCCTCTTTGTTCCAGGTAGAGACATACCGTATTTCAGCCGAAATACAGCTGGGGATGTTTCACAAGGAAGGCAACAACCGCAGGTGTGAAAACACGCTCGGCCCGAGCATCGTTCACGAGTATTTCTAGGTGTGAAGGTCGAAGCATGTAGCTTCCAGTCTTGCAGATGCTGCTTGAGCATTGCATCCTGTGTTCCGCAGCAGTATCTTGCAGCTTCAAAGTTCGCATGTCCTTTCCTTCAGAGCACCCACTAACTAGATGGAGGGCCGCCGTCTGGAGTGGAGCCGGCGTCTGCAAGGCGGTCCTGGCTCGTGGTCATTGATTGACTCGGACGGTGCGGCCTTTACCACTGAAGCAGCTCCTCGATGGCATCTGCTCTTCTTTTCCACCGATTACGTGGAGAGACTGCGGTGCCGATTCGTCCAGTGGCATCCAGCAGATGCCCAGGTTGCTGTGTTCGAGGCTGAGGAGCTGGACTATGATACTTGGATCAGTTATCCTGCCGGAAAGGTCTACGTCCGCGAAGTGCCCTCACCCTTGGTCGTCACCTGCAGCTTAACACCCGTCCCGCAAAATGCTGTTGACATGGTGTTCACCACGGTGGCCGGCGAAGAGCTGCTGCGAATCGCCGGCATGTCGAACCCTTTGCCGGAGCTGGAAGAGCTTGCTACATCCGCTGCTCTAGCAGCGGCAGCCCAGGGCCGCCTGCGGAGCCGCAACCAAGCAGTGCGCACGACGTTAGACGGGCCACTGATCACGGAAGTCCTTGCCCATAACACGTGAGGCATGCTGACAGCACAGAGCTAGGAAAGAGTCGTTCGTTTCACACAACCTCTGCCGTGCGCCGGCCGCGAAGGAGCACCGCGCCTTGCAGCCACAGCAGCAGAAGCGAAAAAGGAGAGTCGGCTGCAAGCAGCAAGCCAACGACGCTGACATCGTGCCTGCAGCAAGAGCACACCAACCTTAACCCGGCACCGCAGCCCAATTCGTGATCGAGCCTCAAAAGCAGAGATCCGCTTCCTGAAGAACCATCTAGGCCGAAGCTGCTTCCGACAGTAAGAGAGAAAGAGCAGGCACGGTTCGCTCCCCCGCCCGTGCAGGTGAAGCCATCATGCAGCCCGAAAGCAGCCGACGGTGGGCCGACATGACAGACGACGACGATCAGGCGGGATCGCATGCGACACGCGCAGACGGCCCGACCCCGCCTGAAACCTCAACGGCCTCAGCGCACCGAACCACGAGGCGACCGGCTGGGAGTTCGAAGCGTTCAAGAAGGACTACCTGGCGAGGAGATGCAGCCTGACACTTCTGACGCCCGTGCATGCCCCAGAGCCTGCGAAGAGAGAACCCGTGTATACACGCATGTATGTCGCGCAACTGCGCACCGAACCCACCGGCCGAGGGCGGAACAATCAAGATCGACGAGGCGCGCTGACACCTCGTGCCGTCGCCCTCAGAAATCACAGGAGAGCACACGGGCATGCACGCACGAGGCCTGGAAAACCTCCCCGACAACCGCACCTCGACGGGACACGACCCCGCACTCCGGCGCGAAGCCAAGAACACCCCGACGGAAGAAGGCATCACGGCCGGAATGCAAGTAAGGACTTGTGCCACGAGAAAAGCCATAGAAAAAAGAAAGCAAGCCGTACGCGGCATCGTGACCTGCAGGCCCCCAAAAAGCCACTGCCGCGCCAGCCACGAGGGACGGCCGACGACGAGAGAGCCCTGGATCGTGCTTTCCAGCGAGCAGAGGCACCGGAGAGAAGCTACACCCCAAAGGCGCACAACACCTCCCCCGGCAAGCGTCTAGTACCACTGTGTGCACAGGCCGACAGAGCCGCCGAGGCAACACCGCCAAGAAACGAAGCCGTGGAAGCGGCAAAGCTCGCAAGGAATGCCGCTGAACCATCTCACGAAGGACCGGCCGCGCGACGAGGGGGGGCCGAGACGGACTCCGACCACGACACGGAGCCCGGACCCAGCGTCGAGGCCGGCGTTTTCCCTCGAGCATCCACTGTCAAGAGAGCTCTTTAGGCAAGCAGACAATGCACCCGAGAGGAGCACTTTCGGGGCATGCTGGCCATCAAGAAGATGTCAGGCGACGGCAACTGCCTCTTCCACGCGCTCTGAGAGAACACCGGCGAGAGCGGGGCATGCCTCCGAGCCCTAATCATCCAGTACCTCAGAGAGAACGCAGAAGCCGAAGAAGACGAAGAGCAAGTGCATGCCTGGCTACAGGAAAGCCAATACCTCCAAAGCGATCCGGGTCACTGGGGCGGCGACACGGCCATCATCGCTTTCACCCGCATGAGGCAGCAGCGAGTACTTTTGCACTGGCGGACGCCAAACGGCGACATCCTCACGAGCGAGCGCACGCACTCGGACGTGGACGAAGCAGCCCAACGCGGGCCGCACGCAGCACCGAATGCCACGGAAGTGATCCATCTCTGGTACAACGGCAGGGACCACTACGACCTGCTGGTGCCCATAGACAGAGCACCGCCACCAGCACCACCACTGCCACCACCACCACCACCACCACCACCACCCCACCCGATTCCGCGCCCAGCCAAGCGCAGAAGAACCGCCGCCGGCGGAGAGGAGGCCCATCAACAGCCCCAGGCGCGCAAGACGCCGTCGAAGCCAACGACACGACCGCCCGAGCCAGAGGCACAGGACGAGCCCAACCTCCTGGAAGAGCTCACCAGCATGCCCGTGGCGCAGGACAGCAGCCACCCCCGGCGGAAACTGGAAGAGGCTCTCCGGCACCTCGCACACACCCAGCTGCGAGCCCAGCCGCTGATACCGCCCGGAGCCAGGCCCGAAGACCTCGACCGTGGGGCACCCTGGCCAGGACAGTTCTGCGCCTTCCAGAGCTGCAACTGGTCATTGCTCACGGGCACCGAGCAAGAGCTTCGAGAGCACGTCCAGCAAGAGCACGCACCAGCACTGCAGAGCGTCGCACAGCACCTACCCAAGCCAATCCCGGCCGATGCACTGGCCAGCGTCTACAACGAAGCCATAGCCCTGCGGTGCAGAGAGGCCGCACCCGTGGCAGGAAGCTCGCGGGACAGAAGCGCGCTGCGGAGCTTCGCCGAAGCCACCAGCAAAGAAAGGGTGGAAGCGATCATTTGCTTCTGCTGCGCATGCATCCACACACGCGTGGCCGACGCCGAGGCCGCGGGCCCCATCCGCTGGCGCAGGCTCATCCAGGGTCCCCCCAGCAACGACAGGACCCACGCCGAGACAACCGAACGTCTGCACGACATCCTGAGCATAGACAAGTACCTGGGGCTCTACGACGACCTGGCCGGGGACGTCAAGCTCACCGACGTGGCCGAGCTGAACGAGTGGACCGTGACCATCCCCCGGCTCGGCGACATACTCTGCTGCCCAGAAGACCACCGCTGCCACGCCAATCCCCAGCACCCAAGCCAGCACACGCTCTGCGAGCACTGCGAGGTGCCCCTCTGCCGCGACTGCGCGCAACACTTGGACAACGGCCAGCTGCCGCCCCTGAGCTTGTGCAATGACATGTGGACAGGCTACTCCCCGGCGCGCC